TGAATTGCCCTCAGCCTTTCCCATTCTCCTTTCTGGCATCACAAAGAATTTCTTTGTACTGCATTTCAAGAAGCTTACCCAGTAAAGAAGATCCGCAGTGTGCCATAAAAGACATTGGGCTCCACATGTTCTAAGAAATAAATAAAGAGGGCAATTAAAATTCCAGCAGACACGTTTTTTGTGAAAAGCAAAATTCCAAAGCAAAAATGGTGGAACAGAAAGTGAAGAAATGTTAAGTCTATACATAAACAATGACAGCCTCCTGTAGCTGGGCTAACTCTGCTTTAGGGTGTCCAGTTACTGCCCGGAGCAGGACTGTAACTAACAGCACGCTAGATGATGATGACACCTAGTACTTGGTTTGCCGTCTTTGATCATTTTCCACCTTAGGGGTGATTTGAGACTTACTGCGCATGAGTCCGAACATCTTCTTCATCTCCTCCAGAGATTTGTTCATCATCTCTAGGCCATCATGCACACCACGATTGTCCTGGGTCAGCATGGAGTTCATCGCCATGGCAATTCCCTGATGGAATGCAAATGTCTAACTTAACTCACAGCTTAAACACCACAGGCTTCAGCTGTCCCAGCAGACCATGGTGACATCTCCAGCAATTACACAGACATACACCTGCTGTCAGGTGATGCAGGCATTCCCAGGGGGACAGATCCTACCTCCATCCCTGTGCATGCAGCCTGTTCCACCAGCAGGGAGACCAGGAAGAAGCCCCTGCATGATTCTTCCCCAGGAAACTTGAATATGGTGTCCAGGTTCCTTTTGGCCCATAGAAACACAAAACTCAAAACCTTTTCCACGCCCACTGCACATACTGAGAACCAATTCTATAACTGCACATACTAAGACGTGATATTATTATACTAAACGGCTTTATCCAATTCACATGACTTGTAGTTCATGTCCTCATACCACTTATACTGCAGGATCTTTTGCTCACACAGACACACACATGTTTAAAAATAGTTAACATATTAGAACTTACTCAATTTCGAACGGGCTGGTGAGCGGCAGAGATCAAAGGGGTTCATGACATAAGAGGAGCAGAGATGGAACATTAGTAACCGAAAACTTTCTGGGATTCTGCTTTTTGCATTCTGAGCGCAGGCATGTAACACAACGTGGCAACAAATATAGAAAAAAATTACAATAGCATTTAAGAATATGGTAATCCTTACATTCCTTTCATCTCTAGTAAAACATTCACGATGGCAGTAAGACAAACATAATGGCTATGAAGTATGACAAAATTATGAAGGGGTTGAGGGAGAGAGTGGAAAGGAGAGATATGGGGTGGGGGGGGCACATAGCTAAACAGAAGGAGGGCATGAACAGACCCTGCAGGATCCCTCAGCTTCCAGTTAGCCAGCACACAGTCTGCATAGAGCAGGATGGGCGGCATGTCCAAGGCCTCCGACACTCTGCAGTACGGCTCAGCCAGCTGCCTGGGGAGCGTCTGCAGGCAGCAAACAGCACCAGCATCCGTAAGCCATCTCTCTCACTTTCATTTTTACTCAAAAAACCCACGTAGATGGGGGTATGACAGGTGAAGGTATGACCTTTCTGGTCTAATCTTTCAAAGTGTCAAAAGCTTTATTGTGACGTGTACTTAGTACAACAAATTTCTTACCTGCATGCTGATTGAGCACAACACCAAATAAATGCAAAATTTACAAATAAGTAAAGCAGCTGATGATGAGTAACAGTAAACAACAAAGAAAATAACATCACAGTAGACAAACCCTTAGCACATACATGCGCTATAGAACCCTTAGAAATAGAACCTGGAAATAAAAGTATTAATTATAGCAGAGTATTAAATAAGAGTATTAATTATAGCAGGATCTGGCGTGCAGGTAGCTTTTGTTGAGGAGCCTGACTGACTGTAGTTTATGGAATCTTGTGGTCCATCTCCTTAAGGTTGTATACTCTAAGCGATCTCGCAACACTTCCTCCTACCATCTCTCCTCTGAAGTCCTCCACCTGCTACCATCCCCAGTCTGAACTAATCCTACTGTCATATGGCTCCACTCCTCCTCTTATTCTCCACCTTCTTCCTTCTTGCCCCCCACCTTACCCACCTTGACTGGCTGGTGCTCTCCTTCCTGCCACACATAGCCCATGGTGATGAAGCCCAGTGCCAGGTGTGCCATCCTCTGTTCTCTGTGCCCCTCGAGATGCGTGATGCTCAACAGTGGCATCTGGTGGCCGGAGGACAGACACAGGCTGCAGTAGGTCAACATTACCTCAGCATCTCTGCCAGCTGCCATCCATTTAACACCACTGCTGTCCTGGTTAACTCTTGGCGAGGTATTCAATACAAACAACTTCCATATCTGTCTGTACAATTAGCTTAAAGAATACACCTGAACACTGACTTGAGTGCCATGCCACGGTCCTTAACCACAATGCCTCCTGGTGCTCGATGAGACTTACCTTATGGACCCTGTCCCAGACCTGATGAGTTTGGATCAGGTGGGGGAGGTCCATGGCGATGCTCATCCATGGCTGGTAGTACTCTGGGAGATCAGTCTGAAAAGGACACACATGAAGTGACCCATCATCTGCACTAAAGTCTGCTGTGACATCACCTGCACTCAAGAGGACATGCAGCTGTCACTTTACAGTCAATTTACTGCAGCTGTACATAGAAAATAGAAACAGCAAATCCCTTCCTGCAAAGTACTTGATATATAATATAATATAATATAATATAATATAATATAATATAATATAATATAATATAATATAATATAGTAATAACGGGTAATGCAAGACTTAGACGTGCATTACCCGTTTTCAAACGCATGGCCGCAAACATAAAGAACCACTAATATCATACTTACTGCACATTTGGCTGACACGTTTGTAATTAAAGGCATTGTTTTTATATTTATGAGCCAAAAACACAGTCCTGCACTGATCACACATTTTGCTCTGACGTGACCAANGGATGACCAGCACCACCTGCTGGTCAAACGGGGAAGGGGCACGGAAGGACCACAGCGGGAGGCCGACCCTGACACATACCTTAAAATGCTAACATATCTTATCAGCTTTAAAATACATTAGTAATAAGCATTATATAATTGTAATGTTTGTTATTATAATATAATATATATTAAAACTCTTAAAGTATGCTAGGATATGCTTACATGCTGCTTATGAATGCATTATGAAGCTGCACTGAATGTTCTATGAATGCATTATAAAGCCATTATGAAGGTGCAGTTAATGTAAAGCGTTAAATATTTCATAAACCAGGCTTTTTTTGTACATGAATTGTATAAAAACAGGTTTATGTAAGTATTGAGACTTTTGGGGGAGGAAATCCATTGACATTTCACATTAGATCACAGATGCTGTGGCTGGCAGGGAGACAGAGGAGAGCAGGGTTCAGGTACAGAGTTCAGGGGAATCAGTTCTGCTCCTCCTTCATCCTCCAAGCAGACTCTCCACAGGGCCAGAGAGAGCATGTGCAGCTGGCTTGCCTTTATGGCTTTAAGTTGCATTGGGAAAGACGGCAGGAAACAATCATTGCCGTAGGTTTGTATGGTGTTCATCGCCCCCTGCTGGTACATGATAGATTCCTGATTGTATCGCAATGGTTTTTACAAATTAATTTTTACTCTGAGGAACTGCAAAACTGATTGTTTTACAGTTCCTCACTGTAAATTTGTATTTTGTATTTTAAATATAAAATTATATTTTGTATTGAATGATTATGTAATTTGTATCAAAATACTTTTTTTTACTTCCCCCTGAACTGTATAAGTGATGATGTCACATACGCACATGGCCGCCTTCGGTGTGATGGGATATATCTTAGATATTTCAGCATGGTTGTTCTTTTGTCTAGATTCATATTTGCGCCGTACCTCATTAAGCAGTGAAGAGCTGTCACTCACATGGAAGACCAGTTCAATCTGTGTGCTGGTGTAGGAACAGATCAAGCAGGACGACGTACAATGGAAATTTCTGAAATGTCTTTTTAAAATACAAATTACTGTAGCTTATTTTTATACATTGTGTTGTTGCTGTACTTTGCAGTTTATTTCAATACTCTTACAGGTATGGTATATTGTACCAATTTTCATTTTGATGTATTTTTCCCCATCTCTGGTTGTATAGTATCACACACAGCAGATAGTGGGTCAGAAAAGTGCTGCATTAGAACTTTATTAAACATAGCTGACTGTGACAACCACAGAGAGCACTCCTCCACAGTGTCTTGTCTGCATATGAGTAAGATGTTTTTATATTATCATGGGATGAGGATGTTCCTGTATGGTGTTAGCAAGGCATAGGTGCTGCATTGCAGCAATATCACAATAGCTAACTGAATTGCAACACGCATGAAGCATTTTCATGCATGCATGCATACACATATCTACTTATGAGCTGTGCTCTCAGGTAAGCAAAGTAATGAAATCTGCTCAAGAGCCTCCAAGTGCTCGTCTAGTGCCTTTCAACTGCTGCCCTGTGCACTACTTACCCGAAACGTTTATTAATAGCAGTGCTTTTTGTGCGACACTGCTTTCCTGTGTATGTCTATGTGAAAGACACTCCCTGATAAGTGAAATGGCTCACTGCTGTGGGACCAGGCCTGCTTATTTACATACTAATGGTGTTGGCTGAAAGGTGGGGAGCTGGCCTCGCTCATCCTGAATCTCTGGAAACTTTCCATTGTTATAGATTAAGTTATTTCTAAACAGTTTCTAAACTGGCAGACCGGGCCCTGGGCCCAGAGATCCAAGGGCCCCCCAACCCCCCAGCTGGGGCCCCAACAGAGCCGGAAGGGCCAGGCCCCGGAGGCAACCGCCGAGAGTGAGGCAGCACACACCAGAGCATCCAGCCCCGGACATCGAGAACCCCCAACGCATCGGCAGCCGGGGGCCTCATCCACCGGCAGGGAGTGTGGGGGGGGGGGGGGGGGGGGATGGCAACAGAGCCTGAGATGTTATTCCAGGTGGAGTGTAAGACCCAACCTGACACATGCGTATAGACAAACAGGCGTACACATACACAAGCATACGTTCCCACCCTCATGCGCACATAACGCAAATCTACTGGCATCTTGATGTGGTGAAACACTGCCCCCATGTGTTCACATTACTGAACAGCATGCACCTGCAGCTTGGTATCTACAGACTTTCATCTGTCCCTGAATGGTCAGGAGAAAGAAAGTTGTGGGGAATCAAAGATACTGCACTTTCACAACTGCCGTTGCACCATTGGATAGCTTGCCAAATAAAAGTTCTTAAACTGGCCGTATCAATACAGCACGTCTGTATCGATATGTGTATTGTCTAAGAGTATGTCACGATATTTTGCTGTATTGATTTTTCGAGCACGGCCCGAATCACCACCCACTGAGCGATTAAAAAGGCAAAGAAAAAAAATTCAGCCAGATGATTTCGATCAAGGTTTCAGGGAGGAGAAAAGTAAGTAACATACCCTTTGAAGTTGATAAAGTTAAGAATGTGAATTTGGTTAAGAACAATAATATTGTAAATGAGCCTGAGATCAATGGGCCTGAGAGCAATGGGCCAGAGAGTGGCGGGCCTGAGAGGGGCGGGCCTGAGAGCAATGGGCCTGGGAGGGGCGGGTCAGAGAGTGGCGGGCCTGAGAGTGGCAGGCCTGAGATCAATGAACCTGAGAGCGAC